TAGCTAATGTCTAAGTTGCCCATCCCTATCTACCCTGTGTACAGAGGGGATAGCATTGATACTTGATGTGAAGACTCCTTCCCTCTCTGTTGGTATTTTGAGCTACTACCTCTATGAATATAGGTCAAGTTCATCAAATTGTAGCAATTTACCCTTGTTTCCTTTATCAAAAAAAAAAAACTTTTTTCATTTTTAATCTTCTTCTAGTTGAGTTCTGATTATCAAGCCATCAAGGCCTGGTCAAATGGGTACTATCTGCAAGTTTGGGTGTTCTTGTGCATCTCCCCTCACTTCATATCAGCTGAATGCTTCACTCTCAGCTTTAGGCCTCTGTGGCTATGGCCTTGTCCATGGGCTTAGGTGTCCCTAGGTCTCACCACACTTTGGACCAACCAGCCATTCCTCTTTTTTCTTTCATCTCCAGGTCATCAGGAGTCTGTGGAATGTGGTTGAACTCAGCTCATTTCGTCATTGCTGCCTTTCCCCCTCTTCCACTAACCAGTAGAAAAAAGTGGTAATCGGCAAGCTTACAGGCCTGCTCATGTGTTCCCTTTGAGGTTCAGTCTTAGAGGGGGTGGGTAGTGCTGTGGATTTTGACAAACGCTTAATGTCATGCGTCCACTATCACCGTATCACACAGAACAGTTTCTCTGTTCTAAAACATGTCCTGTGTATCACCTATTCATCTTGTCAACCATGAACTCTGTAGTTTCGTCTTTTCCAGAATTTCATACAGTTGGAATCATACAACATGTAGGTTTTGCAGATTGACATTTTTCACTTGCAGAATGCATTTCAAATTTTGCAACCACTACCACTATTTATTTGCAAAAAAATTTTATCACTCCAAACAGAAACCAGTAAGCAGTAACTCCCAATTTTTCACTGTCCTCTGCTCATGGTAACCACAAATCTACTTTCTGTCTTTATGTATTTGCCTATTCTAGACATTTCATATAAATAGAATCAAACAACATTTGTCCTTTTGTACCTGGCTGATTTCACTTAGCCAATGCTTACAAGGTTCATCTGTGTTATCTGGGCTCTGTTGATGGGCCTGAAGATTGCTTGTCCAACATGCTGTTCTGCTCTTCATTTGATGTGCCTTATATATATTCTCTTAGTTGTCAGTGAGCATGGCTTAAGGATTCAACTATTAAAACCATTAGCCTGGCCATTAATTTTTTTTCTATATTAAAGCTGTTGATGGCAACAGTGGCAGAGTGGTTATTTTTAAGCTCTTTCTATTAAATCCATCAATTAGACTCTTGGAAAGGTTCTAGAGTTACCATCCCGATTGCTGCTGACTGTACCATTTGTTCCCATAAGAATTACCTGAATTATGCTTTAATTAGTAAAAATAAACAAATAACTTCTGAGCATGAATGCTCCCTGCTAAGTGGGGGAAGTATTCTAAATGAATGTTTCTTTTTGAGAAGCACTGTGTTCTGGAGAGTACATTTGCTTTGAGTGAAATCATACTAAAGAATAAAAACAGCCTACTGCTCATGAGCAAACATTCAGTCAAGAGGCAGATCTACAGGGTGATGCTAGCCTTTCTCTTGCTCACAGGAGAGACCCCCAAAATACTTTGGGGTTGAAAGAATGATTGCTAAATCAGAGTGAAGCTTTTTTCCTAGAAGTACCTGAAAAATAGCAGGAGAAAATAGCAGCTAACCCACACAATGGGGTGGTCTGAACTTGAAATAAGCGTATGTGAGAAGGTCAATTTAAAAATAGGCCAAGTATCCTGAACACACATTATGAAGCAATCATCTGCTCCTAAGGCATGAGGTGCGGAAACTGACTTTGTAGTCACAAGTGTGCGGACAAAGTTGTGTTATTTCTCCGGTGGAGACTGGTAAAAAATCTAAAGAAAGGGCCCCAGGAGGTAAATAAGTCCTAGAGGTAGGTTGAGAAAGAGACGAAGGGAATGAGAATCTTAAATGATGGCTGGGAGAACTAGGAAACAGAAAAATCTCCAAAGACTTCGGAAATGAGTCTTGGTAGCATAGTGGCTTATGTGTTGGGCTGCTAACCACCAGATGAGCAGTTTGAATCTACCAGCCACTCTGTGGGAGAAAGCCGAGGTTTCTGCTCCCATTAAGAGTTACAGCCTCAGTATAAACCCTGTTCAGGGTCACCATGAGTCTGAACCAACTCAACAGTACACATTCGAAGTAGCAGGAGCAGCATTATAGAGTTAGAGACCCCTCAGGCTTATTACCTCTGAGTGTCTTCAGTCTGATGAAAATGCTGGCAGTTGCTAACTCTTATCTTTACTCTTGGGTGAAGCATGACTGTGATGTAAATTTTGCTTTGTTTTGACTGCCTGCCTTCTTTCTTTTTGTAGACATTGTTCGAAGTGATGTTGCATTGGATAAACAGAAAGGTTGCAAGATCGCCCAGCACCCAGATGTTATGCTGGAGCTCCAGAGGGAGAAGGCAGCTCAGATGCACCTGGTTCTTCTAAAGGAGCAGTTCTCCAATACTTACAGTAATCTCATATTAACAGGTAAGGCTACTGGAGTCAGCTGAAATCTTAGAACTCTGTAGATTGATAGCCTTTATCACTTGGCAGCTCGATGCTTTGGAGACCCTAGAGAAGGATCCAAATAAGTCCCCCCTCCCTTTTTTTTTTTTTTCACCCAGTGTATCCCTTTATATAATTGTGATGACATTTGTCTTCCTATAACAAATATTTCTTGTAGTTTGCGAATATATTTTGGCTTGAGGTTATGGGTGATTCAGCATTGTGTGTTCTCAAGTGACAGAACCAATGAAAACCTAAAGAAGCCTTGTAAAAATACGACTTTCTAGATGTGTGCCAGTGGATTTGAGAGTATTACTAAATTTGGTGTCTTTTAAGAAGCGGCTATTTTCCTCTTTCTGTGTATGCCCTTTCTATGAACCCAGTGAATATAGAGATGAAATGTAAAAGAGATAATAATCCACAGGCAGAGCCGACTGTCGATTCCTGATGGAATTTGAAAGTATCTGGGGAATATGACTTTCTTTTTTAAGAGTCAAGAGCTGTGAGACTGAGTTGTACTTCCTTACACCCATGGTTCTAGGAGGAGAGTGGGTATGTGTGAGCGCTCCAAGGAGAAAGAACTTTTTTGTAGGACTGCCTGCAAACTTTGCTGGTAAACAGCATCTGAGTTGCATACCTCTGTCAGGCTTTGAAAAATAATGTATCTGAAGATTTTAATGTGAAAATCATTAAGGATCTTGGATGATCTAAGAAGAGCACTCCAAGTTACCTTTGCTTTCTTGAGGACATGCAAGGCAGGTTTATGAATACTAATATGATGGGACATCTGACAGGCTACGAGTAACTCACACTTATTTTTTTTTAACTGTAGATTTGAAAAAAGTTAACTTTTTTTTTTTTTTTTAATAGGCTTCTTGGCATTTCACCAGGAATTGCTGAGTGGCAACCAATTTTTTTTTTTTTTGCTTTTGAAAAAGCATAAGGCTCTTCCAACTTTTCCTTTGTACCTGGTGGAAAACCCAACACCGTGAGATGAAAGCCAGATTTCAATGTGACTTATGAGCAGAGAAGAGGATTATGGATTTCATAAATGTGGGCCCTGGTGTTTGCTCTTTGATAGGTCATTAAGGAGGGAAACTTGGAAGTGATTTTTGGTTAATGAGACTGTTTTGAGTAGAACATACTTTTCTCTCCAAATTTCTGCAGTCTACCTCATATGAATATGTATTTAGTATTTAGAGTTTAATGATCAGAAATAAAAAATTAAATTCCTTCCTTATGCTAATATTTTTAAGGCTTATATTAGAAGAGTCAGATCCTATGTCCTTTAATGTGACATAGAAATAAATGACTTAGGGTAATTCTAACCCTAAACTGTGAATCCAGAGTATGGCTTGAAGGCATATTATCAGTGAAAACTCAAGTGTTCTATTGAATTCAATGGAATCTTTTCTAATTCTCAGTAACATAATCCCTTTGGATGTTTATTCCTAGTTCAAACTGTTGGAATCAACATTGTCAACTCTTCTCCTGACAACTTGCTTATTTCCCACTAAACAAACTTACCCTGGAGAAGAGTCCCTTTCCTGCTCTCACTTCTCCAGAGCAGCTTCAAAGAGTCGTCAGGCATTTTCCACATTTTTCACCCAAATGCCTGTGCAGAGGTGGTACCTTGCCGCAGACAGAGCATTTGGTGTGCCCTGGTTTGTTTACATGAAAGTTCACAAGGTTTTGGTACCAGGTGTTGGGAAGAGATGGAGTCATTTCAGTTTAGCACCAATGGTAAAACTATTTTAATGTCCTTTAACGAAGTCTTTGATTTTACACAGTGTGGTTTTCTAATTGTTATGAAGTTTAATCCTTGATTTCTTATATAAATCTTGAGAACATGGTCTCCAGACAGCTAAACATAATATTTAAACATAACTAAACTAAGTTTTGTAAATATTTCCCTTTTCTGTGATGAATGTATATTGGGAAGGAGGGTAAGGTTGAAGGGGCAGAGAGACCTCAAATGAAGTGACTTTCTGTACCAACACGTTCAGAGCACCTACTCTAGGATTTCTGCTTGGTGATGTGCCGCTTACTCTGTGTACCTCTGGCAGAATGCTTGAAATATCAATAATGGAAATATTGAAGAGGCAGCAGGTTAAGGAAACTGGGCCTCCAAAACTTCAGAAGCAGAGCACTTTCCCACAACTCCCCCCACCCCAATTATTTACAGAATTTCATGGCTATGTATAGCAATGTGTACTGCCTTATTTTTAGATGAGACAACTAAGGTCATAGTAAATATTTAATAAAGTCAGATAATAAAAAATAATAAAGTTATTGAAATGTCAAATAGTTAAAACATGCTTAAAATGGTCATTTTTGTCCTTCACGGGACAAGCAATGTGAAGTGACTGTCGGCTATTGTGGGAGGAGGGGAGAAGCATGCCTTTCAAAGTCTTCATTCCAGCTCATGATCCCTCTTGAGCAGACGCCCCTCAGACGAAGGCAAATTATATTCCAGTTTAGAGGGTCTTCTAACCATTTAATAAAAAGGAAGTAATTCTACAGCTATTAGTGACAGCCCAGTTAATGACAGCTAATCCAATCTTTCAATGCATATATTTGGTTGAAGTGTTCCTCAGTGTTGTTGTTGTTAGGTGCCATCTAGTCGGTTCCAACTCATAGTGACCCTGTGCTCAACAGAACAGAACACTGCCCGGACCTGCGTCATCCTCTCAAATTGTTACACTTGAGTCCATGGCTTCTGCCACTGTACCAATCCATCTCGTTGGGAGTTTCCTCTTTATCCCTGACCCTTCACTTTTCCAAGCATAATGCCCTTCTCCAGGGACTGGTCCGTCCTGATAACATGTCCAAAGTATGAGAGCAGAAGTCTCACTATCCTGGGTTCTAAGGAATATTTTGACTGTATTTCTTTCAACACAGATCTGTTTGTTCCTTATTACATCATATTTTCAGGGAACTAGGTTGTTTTCATGTGTTTTGACATGGTTTTAAATGTAATGTTTTTATGTGAAAGATTCATATAGTTTGGGAAATAATGTTAGCCTCACCTAGCCTGTTGAAGTAAATGCTAAGATAACAGGAGGTTATGTAGGAATTCTAGTATAGCATCAGGGATGGAATTATTTTACACGGTCATGTGTTGTGTGCTGCATTTTTTACATGGACTTAATATGTTCATAACACACAGTTTCTTGCATGTGACAGTGATATTCACTATGTATGTCAGCTAGTCTGTCATTCTCAAGGAATGCCAATGAGAGGGAGAGTTAGCTATGAGTTTTTAAGAAAGAACTGCTCCCTTGTGTTCTATCTGTGAGCTCATGATTCTTAATGTACCAGCGTTCTATACAGTTCTTGAAAATAGCCTGCTGTCTTCATAATGAATGAATTCTCTTGAAGCCTTCTTATTTAGGGATACTTTGCTGTTAAGTGCTGTTGAGTCACTTCTGACTCATTGTTGTTGTTGTTGTTAAGTGCCATCGAGTCGGTTCCAACCCATAGCGACCATGAACAGGGTTTCCAAGGCTGTAAATCTTTATGGGAGTAGAAAGCTTCATCTTTCTCCTGTGGAGCAACTGATAGTTTCGAAATGCTGACCTTGAGGTTCACAGCTCAATTCGTAATAGCGTCTCATAATCATAGGGTTTCCAAGGAGCAGCTGGTAAACTTGAACCACCCACTTTGAGACTCAAACTGACCTTGCAGTGTAGCACACTAACCTACAGTACCATTGACGTCTATTAAATAACTTTCATAGATTCAGATTCAATGATTTCTCTCTCTCTCTGTCTTTTGAGGTATACATTGAACTTTTGTGAAGGATTCTTGTATCATAATCAAATGAAAAACAGAAAATAAAAATGAAAAGTCAGCCAATAAAAGGTAGCACCTTTTCTAGGGATTATTTAGAACATCAGCTCCTGGAGGGAAAGGAATAATGCCATATCTGTGCAGTGTTCTGGATAGTGTTTAGAGCAGAGTGAATGATCCTGAAATGGGGTCACATTTAAAAAAGTGGTTTGTGTGTGAAGTCATCTAGCCAGCTCTATCCAGCAGCCTGAAATGTAGCCATTACAGATGGACAAATTGCTCAAGATGCTTCCCAGCATTCCCTTATGAGGACTCTTGTCATGTTGTTGGCTCCACTTTTGGTTTTGAACCTCTTAATTCTGTCATATAAATCTCCAGATTGGACTAGAGTTCCAATAGGTTGGCTCTACTTTTGGATTGTGGCAAATGAAATGGGATTGAATGAAAGAGTCTGGAGCTTCACTGTTAAGACCCATTTTGCTGACTTAAAATGAACAATTTAAATCAGTGGAATAAGAACTTTTAGTTTCCCTAAAGGATCATGCTCAGAGACTAGTTCTAGATAAGGCATAATACTACAATAGCTAACCAAACACAAAACTCTATTTCAGACTCTTAATTCTTCTGCAGTATTGAAGAAGTGTAGCCAGAGTGTTCCTTGAAGGCCAAGATGGCCAAACTTTGTCTCTCATACTTTGGACATATTGTCAGGAGGGACCAGTTGCTGGAGAAGGATATCATGTTTGATAAGGTAGAGGGTCAGAGAAAAAGAGAAAGACCCCCCAACTAGATAGATTGGCCAAGAGGCAGCATCGATGGACTCAAGCATGGCAACAGTAGAGCTTGGCCCAGGATCGGGCAGTGTTTCATTCTGCTGTGCATAAATCCACTATGGGTGGGTACTGACTTGATGGCACCTAACAACAACAAAACAACAACAACAACAACCCCACTGTGGGATAATGCAATGAACTGCAAGGTTGGTTTGAACTGAAAGGTCGGTGGTTTGAAATCACCAGCCACTCCTCAGAAACCCTAAACAGGGTCACTATGAGTCTGAACCAGCTCAATGACACTTAACAACAACATCCCCAATGTAAAGCAATCTTCATCTGAATCATTATTTAACAACTGCTTTTGCCACTATTTCAGCAATTTGTAAGAAGTTTAAAGTGATTTCTGCAGATTTC